AGGCTGCTAATTTTCAGCGACAGCATCTAGCTTTGACATCTATTTTGAGGGGAAAGGTGACCTTTCTTTTTTATAGATAACTGTAGTTGGTTCAGAGCCCTTATACAATTTCAGTTTCAACCTCTAAGTCATTTTAGGGAACCTCTCTTACTCAAGCAACACACCCATGCAATATGGTTTGCCCCAAGAGTCATCCAGTTCATATTCAGGTTGGGTGTATCAAATATGCTAAAATGGCATCGTCAATAGAATCGTTTTTTTGCAATAAAAGAGGATGGAAATCAAGGTGTGTCATTGGGCTCGATGTAGAAAAGAATTTGTGAAAATTTGATATTAAAGTATTCATTGTATAGCAAGAAATATTTTGAAATGAGAATTCAGATTTCATTGTTTAAAAAGGGCAGGGGGAAATTCAGTTATTATCACAGAAGCAGTTTAAAGAAAGATTTGGATTCAGAATAAGAGATAACTCTGATTTTAAAGTTGGAAAACAACATTCAAATTTTGGTGACATCAATATTGGTGTCAGACAAGGAATGTCTATGGTAACCATTCTTTTATTAATATTTACAATAAAAAAGTCATCTTATGATGTTGTTTCTTATCCCCTTGTGTAAAGATTACACGAATTCCATGAGTTCATGCTCCTCGAGCTGTTTTATGATGAGCAGCGGCCTCTCCCAAAGGTCCTGTTTAGTGCATCTAATGCAAGCCAAAATGTGTTCTGGAGCTGCAGGTACCAAACTACATTTTGGGCAAGTGGGATAAATTTTGTTATTATTTTCTATCTTCAATAGCTTGAGATGGCCCGTTCTAAATCTTGTTAGTGTTGTTTGATGCTGTCTATTTTTGATCTTCAGAGCTCCTCCTGGGTTCACTCCACTGTACCAACTGTGCTTAGGTGGGATCCTCCAGTTCTTGTTTATTTTTGTTTTGGCTATTGTTTCTATTTCTTTAAAAGTAAGTTTATTTTTCTGTGGCAAGGGTTCTTTTGTGCCTTTTTTGCTAGCACATCAGCAGCTTCATTGCCTTCAATGCCAACGTGTGAGGGTATCCATTGAAGGTGAATTTTTGAGGTTTTTGAGAGTTTTTGGAGATAACCAATTATGTTCCTGCTTACTTTGTCTCTGAGTTCCCCTGTGTGACTCAAATGTTGTATGGCACTTCTACTATCAGTAAGAATCCAGATATCTTGATAATTAGTATTTCTGATGGATTTTAAGGCTTCATAGATGGCTATAAGTTCTGATCTGAAGACTGAGCAAAAATCTGGGTTTCTTCTGTTCATTTTCTCAATGCCATTTGTGGTTTTGATGAGACAGCCATTGCCAGTGTGTCCTAGCTCGTCTCTGCTACCATCGGTATAGATAGTTATTGCATTTTTAGGAATGTTATTAATTATTTCTAATGATAATTGTTTTAAGTATTTTGGATTTTGGTATTGTTTGTTGGTGGGTTCATTTAAAGTGGCATTAAAAATAACATTTTGTAGTGGTTTGCATGGAGAAATTTTTTCTGCTAAATAATTTTTTTCCACTTTATATTTTAAAAATTCATTTCTTTTGGCCAGGTGTAGAGGGCCTTCTTTTTTGAGTCTTAAATTGGATTCCCAATTAAGTATGTACTTGGAAGTTCTGTGTTTGTTTCCATAACTCTTGATTTTGTTTATATATTTTGGCAGATTGTAGCTTCTTCTATCCTTTAAGGGCATAATGTCAGCCTCGTAAAGTACAATATCATTAGGGCAGGTATTTCGAAGACCTGTAATAATTCTAGCTGCACTTAGTTGTATCCTTTCCAGTGATTTTAGATTTGTTTCAGATGCTGTACCATAGATTTGATATCCATATTCCAGGATAGGTCTAATTAGAGATGTGTAAGTTAATTTTAGTGTGGTTGCATCGGCTCCCCACTCTCTTCCTGAAATATATTTCAGGATTTTTAGTCGGTCTCTTCCTTTTCTAATAACTTCTTCAATATGTTTACTGGAGTTAATTTCTGGATCCAGGGTGTAGCCAAGATATTTAGGATGTTTATTATATTGCAATTGTTGTTCTTTCAGAATAATTTTTGGTCTTATTTTGTATAGTTTCTTATCGGTAGTAAAAAGACAGGTTTCAGATTTTTGGGGGTTAAATTCTAATTTATGTTTATTAGCAAATTTTTCTAGGTGGAAAAGAGTCTTGTTCAAATCTCTTTCAGCTTTTTTCCAGTTAGTATTGCTGCTCCATAGAATAATGTCATCAGCGAATAGTCCAATATTGGTTTTATGTGAAATTTTTTCTTCTATGCCTGCAATAAATAGGGTGAAGAGAGTTGGGCTAAGGACTGATCCTTGTGGTAATCCTTGGTACAATTTGAAGGTTTTAGATAGAGTGCCATTATATTTGACCCTGATGTATCTATTTTTAAGGAAATCATTTATCCAAGTGATAGCTTTCCATCAATTTTGAAATGCTTGTATAATTTTGTAATTAACTTGTTTTTCCATACTTTATCAAAAGCTTGTGTAAGGTCTAAAAAAGCAGCTATGGTGTGGTTAGTTGGTTTTCTGTTTTGTGCATCTTTTACCTTTTGTGTGAAAAATAAGAGTTGGTCTATTGTCCCATGTCCTTTCCTAAATCCATATTGTTCTTCTGGTAAGAGATTTCTTGTGTCGAGGTGGTAGGTGAGTCGTCTGAGTATAATTTTTTCCATTAATTTGCAGCAAATACTTGTGAGGGAGATAGGTCGGTAGTTTTTTGGGTCATCAGCAGATTTGTCAAGTTTTTTAATAGGAATCATTGTTGCAGTTTTCCAGTCTTGAGGCAATTTTCCAGTTTTCCAGGAGTTATTGAAAATATCAAGAAGCTTTTCTTTGCCATTTTTGCCCAAGTTTGATATCATTTGGCCATGGATTCCATCTGGCCCAGGAGTCTTGTTTAGGTCAGTGTTTTCTAATGCATAATCTAGCTCTTTCATATTGATTTTTTCATGGAAAATATTATGAGTGCTAGTGACGTTTTTACAGTCATGGATAATCTTTCGGGCCTTTTTTTTCAACTTTCTTATCTTTTATTTCAAATTTGATTTTACTACTTATTTGATATGAATTACCTAAAAGATTAGCAGCATTTTTGTCATTAGTTGCTGGGGTACCATCTGTATTCTTAATCATATTTGTGTTTTCAGTTTGTGGCTGGGCTCTGTCAATTTGTTTTGCCAAATGCCAAAGTTTTGTATTTGGGTTTCTTGGGTTCAGGTTTTCACAAGTTTGTTTCCATTTTTCCCTTTTCATATTTACGTATAATCTTTTTATTTTTGCATTCACAATGTTCAGTTCAGTTCTACAATTTGTTTGGTTTTGGGTGCACTTTTTTTGTAGTTCATTTCTTTTAGTTATAAGTGTTTGAATATTTTTTGCCTGGTGTGTATAATTTGGAATCCATTTCTTAATATAACCTCTTGGTATTGAAACTTTGGCTGCTTTAATAATGGTGTTTTTGAAAGATATCCAATTTTGTTCCAGATCTTTTATTATAGTGGGTGCTTTTCTAAAGTCTTCATTGGTGTTTTGCTGGTAAAGATTCCAATTAGCCTTTTTGAAGTTCCAGAATTTTTCTTTAATTGAGCTGGTTTTGGTCTTGGTGCTAATTTCTATCAAAATAGGCAAATGATCACTTGCAATACTTTTTAATATTTGCCATTTGCATTTGTGGAAAATTTCAGGACTGGAGAAACTTATATCAAGGGCTTGTGCGGTATTATAACTGTAGAAATGGTGGGTAGGATTCCCATCATTTAAGCACATGAAGGCATTGTCGTCAAATAGGTTTGAAAGTATTTTGCCTCTTGGGTTTGGCGTGGAACATCCCCATAGTTGATGTTTGGCATTAAGGTCACCTACAATAATAGTGTTGTCTGTAAGAAATTGAGCCATTGTTCCATCGTCAATAAGTTTATTGTTTGGTGGGTGATACATATTGAATATGTTGATGGTTTTGTTTTGATTGAGGTAGACTTTAATACCTTGGGCTTCGAGGTCTGATGTGTTTGGAATATTAATGGCTATGTCTTCATAGTACAAATTCTTGATTAAAAATGCAAGGCCACCCCCTTCTTTATTTCTGTCTTTTCTGAGGATATTGTAGTTTTTATATTTGAGATTGTACTTTTCATTTAATTTGGTTTCCTGTAGGGCTATAATTTGTATCTTTTGTTTTTCAGCTATTTCCATTATTTCTTCTAATTTTATTTTTGTTGCTGTTGAGCACAATCCATTGATGTTGCACTGCAGAATGCTCAATTGCTTGGAAGCTGCAAAGTTAGAAGTTTGTGGAGACTGTATTATACTTATCGTCTTAGTCATCTTATAGGCACCAAATGGAAATAATGGCATGCTTCTTTGTGAAAATAATTGTATGATATTTTAAATAATAAAAATGAAGACCTCCTGATTTTGCAATGAAGGTTGCTGATGGCCAACTGCCATCTTACACAAATTTATCAACCTTGTGTTAATTTATAATTTTCAGAATTGGCCTATATCCTTTTCTTGAAATATTAAGAAAAACCAACTATGCACATGAGGACTCCTTTTATTATATACTACACTAGCCGAATGACCCGGGCAACGCCCGGGTTTTACCCGATTAAATGTTTTTATTCAAATACTATTCGTTACAATTATAAATTGGAATCGTGGATGTCACTCTTGTGAAACGTCCCGCTCCAAACTTTACATGTACATTAGGTCAGCTGGTATTACCCCCCATTTTCACCGCTAGAGGCGCGAGCAAAAGAGCAAATTTGCAAATAACACGACGGATATTCGGGATAGATACCTGAAATTTTCACTGAGAGTTTTTCCAGATTCTACTTTATATACTGTTAAAATTTCAGTCAGATTAGTTACGTATTGTGGATGTGTATAGTTGACAAACATACAAACATACATACGCTGACTTTTATATATATAGGGATAATGATATAAATGAGTTTTAAAAATGTAAAAAAAAAAATGCATCGGCCGGTAATCAAATCGCCTGCGTGGCAGGCGAGCATTCTACCACTGAACCACCGATGCTTATAAGAAATGGCCCTATATGGGTATTTATTCCATTCACAAAAGCACACGATGACAGAATTGTTGATGACTCTGATACTTGTATTCATAATTATGTTAGCATAATGAATTAGTCAGTATTTCCATGGTCTCCAGCGAAGAGGTGTGAATTGACATTTTGAAAATATACATAATTATAAAGATAGAAGCTTCTATAGAAATAACTAAAATAAGCCGAAATAGCTCAGTTGGGAGAGTCTTAGACTAAAGATCTAAAGGTCCCTGGTTCGAACCCGGGTTTCAGCATCTTTTTTTAATTTTTAAATTTTTACTTACCGTAACTTGACACGTGACTTAACGTGACAGAATTGTGCATAACGCTGATAACTGTATATATTAATTATCCCCTTTTATCCTTTTCTATTTTAAAATTATTTCAAAAATGTACAATACATATTATAAATGCAGTGAACTAATTTTTATGGCAAGAAGCTAGAAAAGAGGTTTAAGATAATTAAAAGCTTTGGGTTCCCATATGGAATAAGACTCAATCTCATAAGGGAAAATCATTACTCTAAAAAATAATATATCTGAATAATGTAGAATATGAATATTAATGGTATAGAAATTGAACAAGAGAAATTACTCGCATATCTTAGAACACTAGCCGAATGACCCGGGCAACGCCCGGGATTTACCCGATTTAATGCTTTTAGATAAAAATTGTAAAAAAAAAAAAAGCATCGGCGGGGAATCGAACCCGGGGCGCCCGCCACTATAATATATAGAGTTTTAAAAATTGAAAAAAAAAATGCATCGGCCGGAAATCGAACCCGGGGCGCCCGCGTGGCAGGCGAGCATTCTACCACTGAACCAAAAGCAAACGGTGACAGAAGTGTCTCACGCATTGGCGGCCCCATCGTAGCGAACCAATAGGAGAGCGCCATTCCAAAAAAAAAGCGAGTGGGGGGGGGGGGGGGCAAAGGTGGCGTGATTGTAGCCAACCAATAGAAGGGCGCCATTCCAAAAAAAAAAAGCAAACCGTGACAGAGATGAGGAATGACGCTCGTAACTGTATATATAATTATAAATTGAAAAAATAAAATGCAAAAACATCATAGGTACGAAGGCAGTAAGCACATATTTCGTAGAAATAGTCTTCAAAAAGAATTTTAAATATGGGACTAAAGAAAAAAATCTTAAATGTTGTTTGATCAGTTTCAACTATGGATGTGAAGCCGGGACAATCATTAAAAAACAATGCTTAAAATGAACTCTATTCCATCTCTATTGCCCTAGAGATTAAAAAAAGAATCACCGAGAATAAATGGACAAATAGGGTGTGAAGCAAAAAATGTGGAGATGATTAAATGGAAAGTATGGTGTCTAAATCAAAAAAGAATGGTCTAGATTAGAATATATTAAGAGGCAAAGAAAATTTCTCAGAGCAGGGAGACATGGTGTTAAGTGATGGGTGACTTCTGTATCAGAGATAGCACTACATCAAGATTATATATTGGCCAATTTTAGATAATTTTTCAGTATAGTCTCTGACCATAGTAATGTTACGCTGCTGCTGTGTTTAGAATGTCCAAATAAGCACGCAGGATCTGTAAGGATCTCTGTTCAACTCCTCTTTATTTACCTTCTTGCATTATGGAGAACAAAGCAAGTAACATACAGGGAGAATCGCCAACAACTGCCATCAACAAGAGAGAGCATGACTTCATTCTTGCTGGCTAGATGGGCTTCTTTCTTTACTGGTCCAACAATGCCCCTCAGCTATCCTTGGAGTAAACTCATGTGGTCAAACTGACCCTGCTTTCCACCACAGCGATGTTGATCTTTCTCTGCATTTTCTTTGACATATAATTGTACACTTTTAATAACAATTTTTTTTTTAATTCTTTTCTGCAGCTTATATATATTTGCTTTGATAATTTTTAAATAAACTTCCTAATTCTGAGAGAGAAATCACCCTGAAACAGATAAGGGTTGGTTTATATTCATTTATCACAAGGTTTAATAACAATATATACAATTTTTTTTATTGAAAATAAACAAAATGAAAATATGAATTATTTCAACTAAAATTCAATGGTATTGTCAATCTAACATATAAGTAATCAAGGCCTGGTTGTCAACCTATAAGAATTATGGATACATAATACAATTAAAATATTTCACACATGGGAGAGCTGACTGCTATAGGGCGCGTCCCCAGGTGGCGGATAGGGGAACGACCTTCAGATATGAAGGCCAGCTGCGAAACAAGCAGAATAACACTGACGAATAAGCAGTCGCGGACCAACAGCAGCATTGTTAGAAGAGGAGTAGACCTCTTTAAAAATCCTGACTTCAACTGACCCAGTTGATAGACCTCAGCAAGGGTCCCACTCCAGGGATACGGAGGAGCTGCGTCTGTACTCATGTTAGAGTCGGCAGCAAAGGCATCTGCTTCCATGTTAAGAACGGCCTCAAACTACAGGCAAAGTCAGACTTTCACCAAAGTGTGCCTGGATCATGGTGCCATGATCAACGAAAGCTGCACCCCTACACCCCATTCCATGAGATCAGATGTTGATTTGCATGCTGCATCGCCCATCGCACAGAATAAACAGGGGCGCGGTCAGGACTTAGGTAGAGGGTTCTGTCCAATAAGTCTAATACAGTCTCCACAAACTTCTAACTTTGCAGCTTCCAAGCAATTAAGAATTTTGCAGTGCAACATAAATGGATTGTGCTCAACAGCAACATAAATAAAATTAGAATAAATAATGGAAATAGATGAAAAACAAGAGATACAAATTATAGCCCTACAGGAAACAAAATTAAATGAAAAGTACAATCTCAAATATAAAAACTATAATATCCTCAGAAAAGACAGAAATAAAGAAGGGGGTGGCCTTGCATTTTTAATCAAGAATTTGTACTATGAAGACATAGCCATTAATATTCCAAATACATCAGACCTCGAAGCCCAAGGTATCAAAGTCTACATCAGTCAAAACAAAACCATCGACATTCAATATGTATCACCCACCAAACAATAAACTTATTGACGATGGAACAATGGCTCAATTTCTTACAAACAACACTATTATTGTAGGTGACCTTAATGCCAAACATCAACTATGGGGATGTTCCATGCCAAACCCAAGAGGCAAAATACTTTCAACTTTTTTGACGCCAATGCCTTCATGTGCTTAAATGATGGGAATCCTACCCACCATTCCTACAGCTATAATACTGCACAACCACTTGATATAAGTTTCTCCAGTCCTGACATTTTCTACAAATGCAAATAGCAAATATTAAAAAGTATTGGAAGTGATCATTTTTGCCTATTTTGCTAGAAATTAGCACCAAGACCAAAACCAGCTCAATTAAAGAAAAATTCTGGAACTTCAAAAAGGCTAATTGGAATCTTTACCAGCAAAACACCAATGAAGACTTTAGAAAAGCGCCCACTAGAATAAAAGATCTGGAACAAAATTGGATATCTTTCAAAAACACCATTATTAAAGCAGCCAAAGTTTCAATACCAAGAGGTAATATTAAGAAATAGATTCCAAATTATACACACCAGGCAAAAGATATTCAAACACTTATAACTAAAAGAAATGAACTACAAAAAAAGTGCACCCAAAACCAAACAAATTGTAGAACTGAACTGAACATTGTGAATGCAAAAATAAAAAGGTTTTAGGTAAATATGAAAAGGAAAAAATGGAAACAAACTTGTGAAAACCTGAACCCAAGAAACCCAAATACAAAACTTTGGCATTTGGCAAAACAAATTGACAGAGCCCAGCCACAAACTGAAAACACAAAAATGATTAAGAATACGGATGGTACCCCAGCAACTAATGACAAAAATGCTGCTAATCTTTTAGGTAATTCATATCAAATAAGTAGTAAAATCAAATTTGAAATAAAAGATAAGAAAGTTGAAAAAAAGGCCCGAAAGATTATTCATGACTGTAAAAATTTCACCAGCACTCATAATATTTTCCATGAAAAAATCAATATGAAAGAGCTAGATTATGCATTAGAAAACACTGACCTAACCAAGACTCCTGGGCCAGATGGAATCCATGGCCAAATGATATCAAGCTTGGGCAAAAATGGCAAAGAAATACTTCTTGATATTTTCAATAACTCCTGGAAAACTGGAAAATTGCCTCAAGACTGGAAAACTGCAACAATAATTCCTATTAAAAAATTTGACAAATCTGCTGATGACCCTAAAAACTATCGACCTATCTCCCTCACGAGTATTTGCTGAAAATTAATGGAAAAAATTATACTCAGACGACTTACCTACCACTTTGACACAAGAAATCTTTTACCAGAAAAACAATATGGATTTAGGAAAGGACATGGAACAATAGACCAACTCTTATTTTTCACACAAAAGGTAAAAGATGCACAAAACAGAAAACCAACTAACCACAGAATAGCTGCTTTTTTTAGACCTTACACAAGCTTTTGATAAAGAGTATGGAAAAACAAGTTAATTACAAAATTATACAAGCATTTCAAAATTGATGGAAAAGCTATCACATAGATAAATGATTTCCTTAAAAATAGATACATCAGGGTCAAATATAATGGAACTCTATCTAAAACCTTCAAATTGTACCAAGGATTACCACAAGGATCAGTCCTCAGCCCAACTCTCTTCACCCTATTTATTGCAGGCATAGAAGAAAAATTTTCACATAAAACCAATATTAGACTTTTCGCTGATGACATTATTCTATGGAGCTGTAGCACTAACTGGAAAAAAGCTGAAAGGGATTTGAACAAGACTTCTCCCACCTAGAAAAATTTTTTAATAAACATAAATTAGAATTTAACCCCCAAAAATCTGAAACCTGTCTTTTTACTACCGATAAGAACCTATACAAAATAAGGCCAAAAATTATTCTGAAAGAACAACAATTACAATATAATAAACATCCTAAATATCTTGGCTACACCCTGGATCCAGAAATTAACTCCAGTAAACATATTGAAGAAGTTATTAGAAAAGGAAGAGACCGACTAAAAATCCTGAAATATATTTCAGGAAGAGAGTGGGGAGCCGATGCAACCACACTAAAATTAACTTACACATCTCTAATTAGAACTATCCTGGAATATGGATATCAAATCTATGGTACAAGATCTGAAACAAATCTAAAATCACTGGAAAGGATACAACTAAGTGCAGCTAGAATTATTACAGGTCTTCGAAATACCTGCCCTAACGATATTGTGCTTTACGAGGCAGACATTATGCCCTTAAAGGATAGAAGAAG